GCACATATTCCATCCGGTCCAACAGATAGAGATGGTTTTAGATTGCGTAGTGCTTTTTCAACAATGCCTTCTATAAAATCGATATGTATTAGATCATTGTAGTTGTCTGTGGTTCAGCTAGGAAATACTGGGCATGATCCATTGCTGTTTACAAATACTAAGCCAAAGAATGTGTTAAAGATGTTTGCTTTAATGGTGTTGTCATTGCAGTCTTTACCATTAAGTCCTTTCAGGGGTGGGATGGACCTTGAGTCTTTTAGTTTGTTGTTTACAAAATTGTAAAAAGTGTGGGTGGAATTGGTGTGTAAAAGGTTTTCCTCTTGTTTAATGTGATAATTGGTGCATTCAGTCTTTATCTGGTGGCATAAATTTTTGTATCGGCTTTTGAAATTGGCAACGTGACCAGATTTGTTTTTCTGACAGAGTGATCTCTTTTTGGATTGAAGTTTCCTTATTGTTATGGGTAATCTGTTTTTTTTGTTTTGTTTTGGGAGTTGTTGTTGGTACATATAGTTTGATGACTCTTTTGACTTCAAGTAAAAATATGTTGTAATGGTCTTCAACAGTATTGCATCCAGTGAATAGAGATTGCCAATCAAGGGATGAGAGATCGTTGTCTATAAGATCATAGTTGCCTTTTTTGAAGTTATAATTGGGGATTGCGTCATTGTGGTGATTTTTGTGTGGGCATATGTTGGGACAAAAGTCAATCATATTGTGGTCACTGCTGGAAAAGGGTTCTTTAGTTTGTATTCCGTAAATTAAATTCAAACTGTTGCAGAAGATGAGATCGAGGCAGTTGTTTAGTCTAGTGTTGTTGGTTACTAGTTGTTCCAGTCCCAGATTTATAACAGCATTATAGAAGGTTGAATGTATGGTTTCAGTTGTACTTTCATTTAAGGTCCAGTTAATATGAGGTAGATTTGAAGTCACTAAGAAAGATAAAAGCGTGTGGGCAGGATGCTGCCTATGTTAGTAGTGTATTTAGCTTGTTTACATGTTCAATGTCATAATCAGGGGCTCTGTAACATAGTAAGAATCGAAATGTGATATTTAAGGACAGTTCACAGATGATGGTCTCTGGAATAGCAAGCTCCTGGGTAACTTGGATGTTTTTTAGATGTAGGGACTTTTTATAGAAGATAGCAACACCACCTCCTCTACGGATTTCACGATCTGATCAGTGAACATGATAGTCTCTTACTGTGGTAATGGAGTCAGGGAGAGATGCGTTGAGCCATGTTTCACAGACAAATATAATGACGAATTTAGCCATATTTAGTAAGAGGAGAAATTCAGGTATTTTATTAGCGAGGCTTCTTGCATTGAGTAGCTTGCATTTAAGGCCAGCAGTAGTTGGAACTGAGGTAGTTAGGGGTGTGTTGCTGAAGTCGTATTTCCTGCAATCAAGTTTGGTGCGATTAACCTTGAGTTTGTATCTATTGTGTGCTCTTGTGTTGTTATGGTTGAAGCTGAAGTATTCATTGACAGGGAGGACATTGCAATGCACCATTTTATATACTTTACTTAGAAGGTTTTCCTCTTGTTTAATGTGATAATTGGTGCATTCAGTTTTTATCTGGTGGCATAAATTATTGTATCAGCTTTTGAAGTTGGCAACGTGACCAGATTTATTTTTCCACCAAAGTGATTTCTTTTTGGATTGAAGCTTCCTTATTGTTTTGGGTAATTTTTTTTTTTCTGGTTTTGGGAGTTGTTAATGGACTCTTTGACTTCAAGTAAAAATATGTTGTAATGGTCTTCTGCAATATTGCATCCCGAGAATAGAAATTGTCAATCAAGGGATTAGAGATCGTGTTTATAAGATCATAGTTGCCTTTTTTGAAGTTGGGGGATTATGTCCCCCAATAATTATGTCCCCCAATAATTTAATTGGGGATTATGTCATTGTGATGATTTTTGTGTGGGCATATGTTGAGAAAAAAGTCAATCATGTTGTGGTCACTGTTGGAAAAGGGTTCTTTAATTTGTATTCTGTAAATTGAATTCAAACTGTTGCAGAAGGTGAGGTCGATACAATTGTTAAGTCTAGTGTTGCTGGTTACTAGTTGTTCTAGTCCCAGATTTGTTGCTGCATTGTAGAAGGTTGCATGTGTGGGTTCAGTTGTACATTCGTTAAGGGTCCAGTTAATATGAGGTAGATTGAAGTCACCAAGAAAGATAAAAGGGTGTGGGCAGGATGCTGCCCATGTTAGTAGAGTATTTAGCTTGTTTGCACGTTCAATGTCATAATCAGGGGCTCTGTAACATAGTAAGAATTGAAATGTGATATTTAAGGACAGTTCACAGATGATGGTCTCTGGAATAGCAAGCTCCTGGGTAACTTGGATGTTTTTTAGATGTAGGGACTTTTTATAGAAGATAGCAACACCACCTCCTCTATGGATTTGAGCCATGTTTCACAGACAAATATAATGTCGAATTTAGCCGTATTTAGTAAGAGGAGAAACTCAGGCATTTTATTTACAAGGCTTCTTGCATTGAGTAACTTGCATTTAAGGCCGGTTGTGGTTGGAATAGAGGTAGTTAGGGGTGTGCATGCCTAGTTTTGAGTGATGTTGGATTGGATGGGGTAGGGTTGGATGCGGAGTTGTGGGTTGTGTGACTTTCTTTTGATGCAATCAGCTCTGTAGTCAATGTATAGGTCCTTTTCCCCATTGTCTAGACGTCTTTTGAGTTCCTTGCGGAGTTCACAGGAGCGGATTCTTTGCAGTATGGATAAGTCTTGTCTTGAGCAAAGTTTTTTGTGGTTGGGATTGGTTTTTGCAATGGTATTTATTGTATGAATGAATATGCGTTTGTTGGACTCATTTTTGCATGCAACTCTACAAAATCTTGGGGCCACTGAGCCGTCCTTGTATTTGCACCCAGGGCCATCTCTGGTTATTTCAATGATATCTTCAGGAGAGATGTTTGTTGTATTAGAGTTGCTTATGATATCACGAACTTTGGTGATGTCATCTGATTCATTGGTGTCTTCGAGACCAAATAAGATGGCACTTGGACATTTCTGTTCACGTTCCATGGTGTCTCTGATGAGTAAGGAGATATTATTTGTGGAATTATTTGAAGGGAGAGTAATTGTTTGTGGCTGTGGTTTGGTGGGATTTTTTGGTTGTAGTTGGGATTATAGTTGAGGTAGTGGTTGTGGTTGTTGTGGGATTTGATTTTGAGCTGATAGGTACTCACTTATCTGTGCTGTATTTTTTTTTCCAAGAGAAATTAGGCTTACTTGTATACTATATAATATATTGTATAGTATATAGTATAGTAAATGTTGAGTAGTTCATAGAACTGGCCAATCCCACTTCTGACTGGAGGTTTTACAGTCTCCTTCCCCTGCCACGCCCATCAAGCCACACCCACAGAACTGGTAGTAAAAAAAATTGAATCTCACCACTGCAATACACTATTATGAAAGTTGTTTTTGTCTTTTGCAAGATTACTAATCCCACTTTATGTGTATGACCTGAAACTTTGATAAGCATATCCAAATCAATCATGGAACTATTGAACCCATGAAGAGCCCAGATGGATCCTTGCAGGAACCTGCGGTGGGAGAACTCTGTGAAACAATGTCTGAGCCAGTTATGCATCCATTTCACGATCCTGACATCCAGCTCACAGTTGACTAGCTTGTTGGTCGCAATGTAATAGTGTACTTTGTCAAAGTTTTTACTGTTTTAGGCTGCTGGGCGCAGATAAAAATTGCTCAACTCTCCGATGTCAGGACTCCAACCAATCCCACTCAAATCCTAAGTCTCTCTCAGAGAAAAGAAAATGGATTTATGAGAAGTGCCCACGTTGGCATTGGCTGGGTGCAGCTGATACTAAAATACACTGTTCATTTCCCCCTTGACCCTGGTCTTCCCTCCAGCCCCTGGATGGGTATTCTCCAATGGGACACATCCATAGCCAAGAGACATCAATCAGGCTCTCCGGTAATTTTCTTGTGCTCTGGGTGATTATCTAGCCACTCAAGGAATTCACTGTTTCCCCCCCCCCCCCTTTTTATCGTTTTAGTTGACATCCGAGTTTGAACCCGGACGCACAACAATGGTAAGAAATATTACAGCAATACAAAACAGAAGAAGGGAGAAGGGAGGGAGGGAGGGAGGGAGGGAGGGAGGAAAGAAGGAAAGAGTGGGAGGGAGGGATAGGGATGGAGGGAGGGAGGAAGGAAGGAAGGAAAGAAAGAAGGAAAGGAGAGGCCCTCCTTTTAGTAGAGATAGACTAGGAGAGGCCAGTCAATCTGCCATGCCTACCATCTGTGGCAGGAAGCGCAGGAGGAGCTGCCTTTGGGTCCACATCCTGCTGCCTGCAGCTTTAAGACAACTTCAAACCCCATTACAGTTGACCTTGTTGGCCAACGGGGGCCCCCGTAGGGCTTTGGCCTGCTCCAATGCCAGGGGGAGGACTCAAGGAAGAGGCTCTGGGGGTTGGGACCCTTCACCGCCTCTTCGTCCCTGGCAAGAGAAGGTCTGAGAAGGGAAGCTGGGGGACACTCAGGGACGAGCCAACCCCGTCCAACCAGAGCTGCAAGGGAGGGCAGGACGGGCTATGGGCACCATGGCCCGCGAAGGCTTGCATGCGGTTCCATGCCCACTGCTGAAGACCTGGGGCAGCGGAAGGGAGCTCGGGTCACGGTTGGAGATGGGGAGGGGTGAGTTGGTCAGCACCCCGGCAGGGCAGGAAAAATGGGGTTTTCTTGGGGGTCCACCCAGTCCCCTGGGATGAAGGCGGAATGTTTGATTAACCACCACTAAGTTCACAATCGCCGCCTGGGTGGGTTTCTCTGTGAGGCTTTGCCCTGCGCAAAAACCAACCTATACAATCTGGGTGATGGAGGCAGGAGCCAGCCAGGACTGTTTCCTGATGGTTTCCTCAGCAGGAAAGACAAAAAATGGATTGTTATTATTATGTTTTGTCAATAAAGATGTCAGGAGGAGGACGATGAAGACAAGGACGGTGGTGTCCTTGATGGTATCTGAGCTCAGCGGCTTCCTTGCAGATGTTTCATGACCCAACTAGGGAACATCGTCAGTGTCAGAAGGGAGTGGGGTATGTGAGGACTAGGAGGAAGACACCCCAACATTCTAGCCAGGACGAAGCAGCTTGGGGATCATTTCAGTTTGGGGGCTGCTTTCTCTGACATCCGTTCCTGCCTTATTGGAGCCAATCTGCCAAGGGTCCTCCTGTCTCCCAGCCTCTGGGAACAGAGTCAATAGACTCTTATCTATGGGCTGGAGCTCTTGCCAAGGCTGAGGGTAGAGTTTGGGGCCGATATTCCCAGCCCTACCTCTAAAAGTTGACCCTTCCCAACATGGCCAACCTGATGGCTTGACTGTTGGCCAAGAGATTGTGGACTTCCCTGAAATCTCCACTCAGGGGCCATTGCCCAACTCAGCAGAGTTTTAATAGAAGAGGATAGCATAATTGAAAGGGACCTTGGAGGTCTTCTAGTCCAACTCCCTGTTCAAGCAGGAAACCCTATCCCATTTCACACAAATGGATGTCCAATCTCTTCTTCAAACCCTCCAGCGTTGGAGCAGCCACAACTTCTGGAGGGAAGCCCTTCCACTGGCTAATCGTTCTCAATGTCAGGAAGTTTCTCCTAGGTTGCTTCTCTCCTTGGTTGGTTTCCATCAGCTACTTCCTGTCCTGCCTTCAGGGGCTTTGGGAAAAAAAAGGTGGGTTTCTCCACCAAATTTTCCCCAGAAAGAGGGCTGGTGAAGAGCACAAGACAAATTCTTTGTGTGTCTAATCACACTTGGCCAATAAAGAATTCATTCTAATTCATTCCAGGGGTGGGATACAAAAATTTTAACAACCGGTTCTGTGGGTGTAGCTTAGTTGGTGGGTGTGGCTTGGTGGTCGCTGTTATTGGCTGGGTGTGCCCAACTCAATATCACTCACATCGAGGCACGTATCTCCTCGCCTGGCCTCTCATGACTGTGGGGATGCTGTAACAGTCGTAATGTGAAAAATGGTCAGAAGTCACTTTTTTCAGTGCCATTATAACTGAATGGTTACTCCACACAAGCAAAGTACCAGCAAAGGAGGGGGGGAAAACTCCAGAGAAGTTCCTGGGACAGGAAGTCTAGTCCTGCCAAGAATGTAATAAGGGTTAAAACGGAGAGGCAGTTTCTGTAAGCAACACCAGAATGTTTCCTTCCTGCCTTCCTTACAGGATTAGCCCAGTAATTTCTTCTAACAACCGGTTCTCCGAACTGCTTAGAATGTTAACAGCCAGTTCTAGGGAATAGGTGTGAACTGGTAGAATCCCACCCCAGATTCATTCATTCATTCATTCATTCATTCCATTCATTCATTCATTCAAGGGCCAGCTTTAACCTTGAGAGAGAAAATGAAACTGGCCAAGCCAGGAGTTTCAAGTAACTGGAAACCTCGTGATTCTCCCCTCAGCCCAACCGGGTCCTCCTCACAAAAGCCAGGCTGCCTTGATCAGACTTTATCTTTCAATTGTGTCTGAATAGCTGGGCCAGAGGAATAGTGATTTGGCTACCCACTATGAGGAAGTGACTGGGTTTATTTCTTCTCCCTTACTTGGATGAAAATGTGTGTTCTTCCTCCTCCTCCTCTTTTGGGTGAGAAGTCGCCCTGGCCAGCAGCCAGCTGAGCTCTCCCTCCCTTCGTCTTGGGATCCTGAAAGTTGCAAGGGTGCAAAGCTGGGAGAGGCCATCACAAGTTCCTTGAAGCGTTCTAGTGACAGGACTCACTCACTCAGGCTTTTGATGGGCGTTTGGACACAACGGGAGGGGTGTTTTGTTGAGCAGCCCCACATTCCCCCGGAGGGGTTGAGACAAGACAAAACAGAAGAGCCGCTTCAACCGAGGCTCACCGGTTGTTTGGAGAGCATCCTTCCATGGCAACCACACACCACCCTTGCTACTTGGCAAGATCTGCACAAAACCTAAAACAAAGGTTCGTGTGCCATAATGAAGGCAAACACCGATAAGGTCACGAAATCGTAAAGATAGTGACTCTATAACCTTACCATAAAGGAATAAAAGAGGACCGGATGGGTGAGCATCGCTGGAGCGCTCTCTGGCGAACCTCAGTTGTCCATGACCTCCTGCGTCCTTGGGAATGCGGCCGCTCTGCCCCTTAGCATCTCTATGGTAGTCCCGATAGGATGAATTCAATGATGGGATTCAAAAAATTTTACTGTCGGTTCTATGGCCGTGGCGTGGCTTGGTGGGCGTGGCTTGGTAGGCGTGGATTGGTGGGCGTGGCAGGGGAAGGATATACTGCAAAATCCCCCTTCCCTCCGCACCCCACTAACCTGCTTTCCAGCTCCGTTCTCCTGCGCAGGGCAACTAAAGAAGAGCCAGCCGATCAGTTGGGACTCGATGGGAGGCAGAGAGGAGATGGGGTTGGCGGGGCCAGTCAGAGGTGGCACCGAATTACCCAAAATTTCTGCTACCGGTTCTCCAGAACTGGTCAGAACCTGCTGAATGCCCCCTCGGGATGAATTGGATCCCAGGCACAGGTTAGGCGGATCACCCATTTGAGTGGGCTTTGTTGTGATACAGCAACTTGCACGTTTAATAAAAGGGATGAATGAAGGGAATGAATGAATTTATTTTCCTGGTATACCCTGAATATGTGCAGTGAGAAATCAGTGACTCTCAGCAAGTCCACCATCTAAAAGTACCAACCTAAAGGAAGAAACACCAGGAGGGGAAAAGGAAAACTCAGCCCTAAATGATCGGTGTATGATGAGCAGTTAGACTTGAAATTAATCCGTCCCAAGCTGGACAGATTTTAATACCTTTGGAGTGAAGCTGCACCTTCCATCTTTGATTCCCCTTTGCTAAACTCCTGGAACTGTGGGCTCATAACAGATTAACAGAGTTGGAAGGGACCTTGGAGGTCATCTAGTCCAACCCCCCCCCCAAGCCGGAGACCCTGCCTACACCATTTCCGACACATGGCAGTCCAGGTTCTTCTTGGAAGTTTGAAATGCAAAAATTAAATGAACTTCAACAGCACCTTGGCCAATAATAGCAAAATAAGAAAAGCCAATCAGAAATACAAGAGTTTGCAACATTTTCGATGGCAGACACCAATAATAAAAGTATCTGAATGAAATGATTAGCACAGCATTGAATTTGTTCCGTGATGGGTTGTCCTGCATTGAATGGGCTGCGACGAGTTGTCCAGTGGGCTGGGCTGGTGCACCTCCATTGAGATGAACTGGGATGCCAAGATTTTGGGGGAATCTCTGGAATATGGTTTGCGGAGGGAAGTCCCGTCTGGGAATCCGATTTTAGGAAAGGATGCGGAGCTTCTGATCAACTTAAGTAGGTTCTCAGGTATTCTTTCAGCCTTTCACTCTGAAGATCACGAAATGGTTGCGGTTTGCATCTCTGATGCAGAAACATCATTGGGGCTATTTATGGAAATGGTTGGTTTCCCTGAAGTTTTATTTGTTAGATCAGAATAATTACTCTGGTTATTGTCTTAATTACAAATGGGATTCTTCCACTCCGTTCTTCTGAGATAGTTTGTAGAACTCATGGATGGCTTTTGGCTCCTTTTACAGGAATGTCCTCCAGTGGTGGGATTCAAATTTTTTTACTACTGGTTCTGTGGGCGTGGCTTGGTGGGTATGGCAAGGGAAGGATATATACTGCAAAATCCCCCTTCCCTCCCCACCCCACTAACCTACTTTCCAGCTCCGTTCTCCTGTGCAGGGCAACTAAAGGAGAGCCAGCTGATCAGCTGGGACTGGATGGGAAGCAGAGAAGAGATGGGGTTGGCGGGGCCAGTCAGAGTTGGGATTGGCTGGTTCTCTGAATGACTCAGAATTTCCGCTATTCGGTTCTCCAGAACCGCTCAGAACCGGCTGATTCCCACCTCTGATCTCCTCCAAGCACGATTAATAAAAAGTTAAATGGGAAGAAGAGACGAGTCACGTTTTGACCTGCTGAGCTGCAGATGGTTTGCCTGTCTTCCATTTAGTTTGAGTCTGGAGACTTTGCTGCATTTATCAGACAATCTGGTGATAAACACAAGAGGTACATACAGCACAGGGGCTGGAACTGAACATGAATTCTTACTTCATGCTGATACTACTTTGGCTTTCTAAAGGATAGATTGGGAAAATAGAGAAAAAAGTGAGACAAGGTTCTACATTTAGGCAAGAAAAACCAAATGCACAGGTGTTATGTCTCACCTGTATCCACAGGTGAGAATCTCAAGTTCCAGAGTTCAAATAGTTTACGCAAACAAAACCAGAGACAGAAGAGTTAATTGCTCTGTTTTCACAGTCCTTTGGCAGTCCTCCTAGAATCTGTCTGGCAATTCTGTATAGTCCATAAATCACAACGTTGTAGTCAGACGCGCTTCTTTCCAAGGCAAAATCCACTTTGCTTCGAGCGGGGGAGAGGCGTTAGCACGCTCCTGATATATCCCCTGAAGGGGCGTGTCAGTCTCATTAATTAATCCTTGGCTGGACGGCTCTTTTCTAATTGAGATTGACGTCTCAATCTTCTCCTAGTTCTAGCATCAAGCCAGCATCCGGCAGTTTCATCACCGCTTGAAGCCTCCGGCACACTTTCCTGATTAACAGTTAACACCTGAGGCGCAATCAGGGAGGGAGTTTCAGAGGAGGAAGACGCCTCTGAAACTTCTAATAAATCAGGCTCATCTCTCAGATTCAACTCCTCCTCCTCCCCCAGACTCCTCTCAACATCGCTCAGCAATGCAGGCTCGAATCTCAACGCCAGATCCTCCTCCTCACTCGAGTCTACATCTGCTGACCGACCTGGTTCAAACCTCGGAGGGACAACACACAGGTATGGAGTACGTGGTACCGGGCTCAACTGTGGTAACTGCAAAAGGGATCTTGGAGTCCTAGTGGACAATCCCTTAAATATGAACCAGCCGTGTGCGGCAGCTGCCGAAAAAGCTAATACAATAGCAATAGCATGCAGACTTATATACCACTTCACAGAGCTTTCCATCCCTCTCTAAGCGGTTTACAGAGTCAGCCTCTTGCCCCCAACAATCTGGGTCCTCATTTTACCCACCTCGGAAGGACAGAAGGCCAAGTCAACCTTGAGCCAGTGAGATTCGAACTGCCAAACTGCTGTCAGCCGGCAGTCAGCAGAATTAGCATCAGGACTGCATTCTAACCGCTGCCCCACCGCTTTAATACAATCTTTGCACTAATGCAATTAATTAGTTAATTCAATCCTAGACTGCATTAACAGAGGGGTAGAATCAAAATCACATGAAGTATTAGTACTGCTTTATACAACCTTAGTAAGGCCACTCCAGGAATACACCACTCAGTTTTGGTCTCCACATTGTAAAGAAAGATGTAGAGACTCTAGAAATCGTGCAAACAAGAGCAAGGAAGATGATTAGGGGACTGGAGGATGAAACAAAGAGATGAAGGAGAGATTTTCTGACAGAGGGAACCATCAATCCGTGGAATATCTTGTTTCCAGAAATGGTCTGTGTTTCATCACTGGAGGTTTGCCAGAAGACATTGGACAGTCATTGGTCTGGAATGGTCGAGAGAAGGGGTCCCCTGCTCCCAGGCCCCAGGCCACTCCCAGGCTGCGTCCTGTGCGAAACCTGGCCAAGGGAGAATGGGCAAGTGTGCACCCATGAAGCTCCACTCATGTGTGCAGAGGGCGCTTGGGCGGGGGTTGGACTAGATGGCCTACAAGGTCCTCTCCAACTCTGATTACGGGTTAAACATCTGCTTGTGTTCCTGTGAGAAGCTCCATTTGTGCGAGGGGAGGGGCATCCATGCATGCACAAATGGAGCTGTGTGCGCACATGTGTGTCTGCCACTCACACGCCCCCCTCCCCCTGAGGCGGGCCACCAAACTGGAAAGGTTGGGGACCGCTGGTCTAGTGATTCCTGCTTGAGTAGAGGGTTGGACTAGAAGACCTCCAAGGTCCCTCCTGTTTGAAATGACTCCAAATAACAAAACCTGGATCGGTGAAAACGCAGAGATTTTATTTGTGAAAACAAAAGCTGTTTGCAAAGAGCAGCTAGACTCAACGTGAAGTTTGAGCCAAGACCCACACCTTAAGATTTCAAAGCATGCTTCTATATACAGTTTCATCTCATCACCCAAGTTCCCTCCTTCTCTGAGACTCATCCCCTCCCCAGTTCAAACTCATTGGAGGTGCTCTCAGGTGTTGCAACTCATCCCAGGATGTCTCCAGGGAGAAGGGTCTCCTTCCGGTATATGTTCTCATCCGTACTCCTCCTCCTCCTCCGTACCTCTTACTTTGGCCGCCCACGTGGCACTTTTCCTTAGGGGAAGATGCCCTCATCAGGGCCTCTTTCTAAGCTCATCATATACTACCCATTTTTCCAGAGAGATTATAACAACAACCCCGCCCCCACAAACATAATAATATTACAAAAGGCATATACATAAGATAAAAATATAAAAAGGCTTAACAATGGAGCACGTCCAAAGTATAAAAGCGAAGCATGTGTATACAGGGAAATATATTTCATTTGATAACAGATTAACAGAATTGGAAGGGACCCTGCAAGGTCATCCAGTCCAACCCCCATTTGTGAAACCTTTAAGCATCTTATATACCATTTTATTTTTGAATTTACTTCCAGCTCTGCTATCATGTTAATTCAGGCTCATTACCTAATTCTGTGGAGAATGTCCAACAATACAGGTAGTCCCTGAATTACAACCATTCATTTAACAACGTGACCTCCTCCCCGTTCTTGCGTTCGCAACTGCGGTGCCATCCCAACAGTTGTGCAATTGCTGTTCAGGGGCTTGGCAACCAACTCACATTTACAACTGGCTGCAACATCCTGCAATCATAGGACAGTGATTTGCAAGCTTTTTGGTTTGTTTGGAGGGTTTTGGGGGGGCAATTTCTGGTATAAAAAAGGGGTGGGGTCCATTGGGGAAGCTGGCTTTGCTGTCCTTGTGCCCCGTCCCACATGGAGCTTCTATCTGTGAAATTAATCAGGCTTCACATCAAACCCTCTTTCAGCAGAGCCATGAATCTGAGGAACTGCAGCTGACTGCCTTTTAACCAGGTTTATTATCCTGAAAAGCTGATGCCTCTCTTTCTGATTTTTGATCCCCATAAATTAACGTAGGCCTCCTCCTAAAAGGACTTCTGATCAGGTCACCGTTAATAATATTTTGAAAGCTTTCGAAGTAACAAGAAGAGCATGATTCATCCAGAGAAGCCGAATAGCAACATACTCGGACCAAAATGCATTTTGCTAGCAGTCCCTTTTTTTCTTTTGATGTGTTTCTCAGAACCTCTGACCCTTTGGAGCCCACCAGACAAAAGTACTTTTAGTGGTTACACAACTAAAAAGCTGCACTGAAATAAATGCGTATCGCATGCACGAAATTGAAACAGAAAGCTGGATTACGGTTGGAATTTTCTGTATTATAAAATCATGCTGTCTGTTTTTTTAAAGGTTAAACACACATATATTTTTGGACATACATACTCATTAAAATAGTAGTTGAAGTTTGGAACAGAAAATTGGAGTTTTCCGTTTTATAAAATCAGTGCTGTCTGTTTTTTTTTTTTTAAGTTAAATACATTTCTTCTGTTATTAAAGTAGGGTGAACCCATTAAAAAAAGTTGTTCTAATTCATGCCAACGCATTTCTCTACGTCATACAGGCAATAAATGTTCTGTTCCTAGTCCTTGGTGCTACCCCGTGTTCGCCTCATGTTGGCTGAGAATTCTTCCTGTGGCATAGATAAGATTGAAAAAGGTTGCAAAAGTTTGGAATCTGTCACTCTCTGGAGAACTTTGGATCTGTCAGGGGGAGATTGTTGTTTAAAGGATGGTGTGTTCCTGGAACAGGAATTGTGCAGGTGCCAAAGGTTGCTTTCACGAAGGGTGCCAATTCTCCGCCTTTGAATTGGCTTCTGAACGTCAGGGAAAGAGGGACAATACGATTCTGTGGAGTTTCGATTCTTGTGTAACAATTGAGTTCCAGCAACAATCACCCAGTAGAAACCATGCCTGCATTTTACTTTGGCGGTTGGTTCAAAATCAAGATCGCCAGAAGTGATACTAGCGTTTTATAAAAACTTAGCGAGGCCACACTTGGGATGCTGCACCTAGTTCTGGTCATCACGATATAAAAAAAGATATATTGAGACTCTGGAAAGAGGGCAGAGAAGAGCAACAAAGAGGATTAAGGGGACTGGAGGCTAAAACATACGAAAACGGTCGCAGGAACTAAGGGGGAAAAATGAATTTACGAAATGTATTATGACATATATATCAAAGGACAGGAATTTACAAATGTTAGTTCTAGATCTCCTCGCTCTTTGATTAAGCAATAGATAGAATATATCTGTAAAAACACATAATTAAATATTGATAATAGATTATTATGGTTTTTAGAGTATAAACCATAGATAACCTATAGGATAGAGGAAATATCTGCCAACATAATATTAATCATGAAATATTCAATTGATCACATGTATTGAAGGACAATTTAATTAGTTTTATCATAGAAACTGTTGTGACATTTGCCTGTATGACTTTTTGTTTTTCAACTTTGTATATTTCTATATTTTAACTTTTCGTATTTAATAAAGTTTTAAAAAATTTTTAAAAAAGAAAACGATTGCAGGAATTGGGCATGTCTCGTTCAATGAAAAGAAGGACTAGGGTGACATGATAGCAATCTTGCAATATTTAACAGAATAACAGAGCTGGAAGGGACCTTGGAGGTCATCTAGTCCAACCCTCTGCCTAGGCAGGAGATGTTCCTGAGACAGGAAGTCTAGTCCTGCCAAGAATGGAATAAGGGTTAACGGAGAGGCAGTTTCTGTAAGCAACACCAGAATGTTTCCCACCTGCCTTCCTTATAGGATTAGCCCAGTAATTTCTTCTAATAACCGGTTCTATGGACTGCTTAGAATGTTAACAACCGGTTCTAGCAAATAGGTGTG